TTGTTTGATCCTCATATTTGCAGTGCAGGGAAGATGTAGTATGTACTCAGACGGCACACAGAGCATCAGGGTCCTAGAATGCTGTGAGCTGTCTGGGCACTGCTTCAGAGTCAGCGAGCCGACGTTGTGATGTCAGATACCAGGAGCCACAGAAAGACAGGGCCATGCCTTGACACCAGTGCTTACATGCTGGTTTGTCATTGTTGACGTGGACCTCCTGTCTCTCTTGATGACATCCTCAGGACTCACTATGGGACATGGCTGGTGCCGTGATGAGAAAGAGGTCTACCCAGGAGGGATCAAGAGGCACAGGACATCTGAGCCTTGTCGCACTGAGACCTTTGAGACAGGTGAGGGCCACCAGCTGTGTCACCAGCTGTGGTGCTGCTGGGAGACACAATGTCATCAGGAGGGACACTTGATGGCTCTGCAGGCCAAAGAGGTCTCAGTCCTCAGGGAGCCCAAAGAAGCCCTGCCAGCAGTAAAGGCGTTGCTGTGTCAGAAGCAGCATGGGAACATGGCCTTCAGGGACCTTTTACGAGCTCTCTCTTGCTTTGTGCAGCATGAGTAGCCTACACGGCCAGGCCGAGAGAAACACTGTAGTTAGGGCCATGGGTAAGCACTCTGACTTGGGACCCCTGCTTGCTGGAACCCTTGCAGTCACTCAGCGCCTCGGAGCTCTGTGCTCGCCAGGACTCAGTCACTCGGCACCTCAGGACCCCATGGTCACCAGGACCCCTCAGTCACTCAACACCTGGGACCCCATGCTCGCCACGACCCCTACGGTCCCTGAAAGCCTGGGACCCTGTGCTCATGAGAACCTCTGTGGTCACTCAACACCTGGGACCCCATGCTCACCGGGACCCCTCAGTCACTCGACACCTGAGACCTCATGCTCTCCAGGACCCATGTGGTCACTCGACACCTGGAACCCCATGCTCACCAGGACCCCTCAGTCACTTGACACCTGGGACCCCATGCTCGTTGAGACCCCTCAGTCACTCGACACCTCTGGATCCCGTGCTCACCAGGACCCTCAGTCACTCAGCACCTGGGACTCTGTGCTTGCTGGGACCCCTCTGTCGATCCCTTGGGACCCCATGCTCACCGGGACCCCTCAGTCTCTCGACACCTGGAACTCCATGCTCGTCAGGACCCCTGCAATCACTGTACACCTTGGGACCCCATGCTCACTGGGGCGCCTCAGTCCCTTGACACGTGGGACCCTGTGCTCATTGGGACCCCTCAGTCACTCAACTCATTGGCTGGCTTCCAGCCTGCAGGTAGATAGGGTGGTGGCACCTGCCTTGTGCCCAATGGAGCCATTAGGATGACCAGGTGAAGTTGTGCGTTATAGCTGTCAGAGTAGTACCTGGCTACACAGGAGTGAACCAAGGCACATGTTAGGTAAGTGAACTGCGGACCTGCATTCTGGTTCATTCTGGAAAGCTGCACCCCCTCTCACAGGCCTCAGGCTGAAGCCTTCCCTAAAAAGAGAAAGCATTTGTAGAGTGGGTGTTCATTTCTGACATTGCGCATTGTGGATTTGGCTGTTCCCATGTGGACTGTGGGTAAAGTAATGGTATCATACAACGTGTTGGATTTTCTTTCCTCAGAAAGTCAGGATGGCTTATAAGGGAGAATAGTTAACCTTGATTCATCACCTCCTAGCCTGGGTCTGAGGAGCCATTTCCTGTAGCTTTCATGAGTTAACTATTGAATCCTCAGTTGCTCTCCGTGAGACTTGCTGGCCTGCCCCCCATTCCCATGAGGAATCTTGGGATGGAACAGTTAACCCACCAGCCCAAGTTCATGTGCCTGTGTGTGGTGGCATCTAGGCTCGAACTGCTGTCCTGCTCAGGAGTCCCTGTTTTGGGGGTTCTCAGGCTGAAAGCAGGGGTTGTCGTAGGAAGAGCCTGCAGTGCTCAGCTGGGTGTGCCTTCAGGGCCTGCTGAGGGTGACAGACCCAACGTGTTAACTCCAACAGAAAAGGAATACCTGTACCTGTACCTGTCTGCCTGCTTGGCCTCACAGGGTCTGTGGAGGCCGAGGGGCCCAGGGAGGCTGGCCCTGCCCATTTGGGAGGCCACAGTCTGCTCCCCCCAGGCCCTACACCTGGTTCAAATCTCTCCCACCCCACCCTGCCCACTGGTTCTCAGAGTGCTGCCACTGGCCACCACCCCAAAACCCTGTGCTCCTTAAAGGCACAGCAGTGTGGCCATGTGGGCTGTGGGTCAGCTCAGACCCCAGCTCTGCCACCGGCGTCTGCACTAGTGAGGCTGTACCCAGCTGCGTGAACGGGTCAATAGACAGTAGCCTCCCCAAAGTGGAGCTGGTTTTGTCTTCATCACAGGTCTGGGGAGAGGCAGCTGTAGCTTCTCAGCGTTGGGGCAGGCCTTCTGCTCAGTCACTACAGTGGCTGCCTTTTGTCCTCATACTCATCACTCCAGCCTTGGAGGGGCCAGCCAAGGGCTCAGGGTATGCCTGTGGCTGCGCCCCTGCAGTGCCTCTCCTGGAGGCCTCACCACCCGACACCTCATTGCCTATGTGTCCGCGGCCACCCACCAAGCACATAGCCAGGCCCCCTTGAGGGGGTCTTCGGGCATCCTGGGCTGTCACAGCAGGGGCAGGTACTGTTCCCTGCTGTTGCCTGTTAACACGATGCCTCTTTGCAGGACAGCTCTTCACTACAAAGCAGCCAACATGAGATTCACCGGGACCTTCTCTGCGAAGGCCATTCAAAACTCGGGAAGCCTTTCCCATCCTCTCCTGTCCCCTCAATTTACCTGGGTTATCACCTCCAGCTTGTCACCCCTCTGTGACTCCCAGCTGCTCAGCCCTGGCTTCCGGCCCACTCTCCTCAATTGGCCATTAATTTCCCCTGCTCCTAGGCTGGCCTCACAACCTTATGAGAAAAATGGCAGTTTGGGGCCACAGTTCTCAAGGATACCTCAATGTAGCCCCTGTTCCCACAGGGTGAGGCTTGTACTGTGTAATGCTGTCAGTTCGTTTTTAAACACCCAGTACTGTTCTTTCTTCCCAGGAACTGCCTCATTCCACCTTGAAAGAGAGCAGAGGCTGGGCCGAAGGGCCTGAGAGCAGAGACTGGACAGGACTACCCAAGAACAGAGGCTGGGCTGGACAGCCCAAGAGTAGAAGCTGGACAGGACTGCCCAAGAGCGGAGGCTAGGCAGGATGACCTGAGAATGGAGGCTGGGCTGGACAGCCCAAGAGTAGAGGTTGAACAGGACTGCCCAAGAGCAGAGGTTGGGCTGGACACCCCGAGAGTAGAAGCTGGATAAGACTGCCCAAGAGTAGAGGCTAGGGAGGATGGCCTGAGAATGGAGGCTGGGCAGGACAGCCCGAGAGTGGAGGCTGGGTGGGAGGATCAGAGAGCGGAGGCTGGGCTGGACCACCTGAGAGCAGAGACTGGGCAGAATGGCCAGAGAATGGAAGTTGGACAGGAGGGCCTGAGAGCAGAGGTTGGACAGGACCACCCAAGAGTGGAGGCTGGGCAGGATGGCCTGAGAGTGAGGCTATGTAGGAGGCCCCAAGAACGGAGGTTGGACTGGACAGCCTGGGAGCAGAAGCTAGGCAGGAAGGCCCAAGAGTGGAGGCTGGACAGGACTGCTGACATCTCCCTCTTCCCCTGGAGGCCTTCCAGGGCCCGTTGGCTCCAGGCACCCCCTTTCTGGTCTTCTGGAACTGTGTTTATCTCCTCGATTTCTTCACTCCCTTCACGGTATGAGAGGCTCCAGGTGCCTCCCTGAGAAATAAGCGCAGAGATGAGCAGCCTCCTTCACCCACACAGCCTTCCTCGCACCCCATCCTCTCCCCTGGCTCATTCCCTGTGACCTCCTCCACACCATCCACAGAGCTCAGCCACTCTCTAACCTGTGACTTCTAAGCCTCCCGTGCTCTGGCCTGCAGTTCCCCTTCCAGAGGCTGTTTTGCATGCAACATTCTGCCCCCATCCCCTCCCACATTCATTCCAGGTCCTTTCTCTAGCAGGGTGCTCCTTGGGGCTTGGTCTACTGCCTTCTGGTTGCTCTGGTCTCTTTAGGAGGGTTTCAGCCCTTTCCAGATGTGCCTTCAACTGGGTCTCTTTCTTGAGGCCCCATATTGTCTTGAGTGACTCACCACATGCCTCAGACTCATGGTCTCCGTACCAAAGCCTTCATAGCCGCCTACTCCCATCCTGCCTTATTCTAAGCCCTCCCCCTCCTGAACACACAGGCGCACACAAGGGGTCTCTGGGTCTGGCCGAAGAGACACAGGCCACAGTCTTCTAGGACCCCAGTCCCGATGCCTCAGCAGCGTTACCCCTCCCTGTGGCTGTCCTTACTGTGTCTGATCAGACACATTTCTCGGCTCTGAACCAGGCCGGTCCCCCAGGAGCCTGGCTTGCCCCCACTTGACTCACCTCTCACTCTGGCCCCCAATCTCCTGACAGCATCAGGCCATGCTCTGTGCAGGGAGCAGAGGGCTCCCTGACCAAGAAGGAAGTCCACCTATAGATCCCTCACCATGGGCAGGCATGGCACCAGTGCTGAGGAAACGAGGAAGTCATGACCTCCGCCCTGGATGGCATCTTGTGGGGGGCTGGGCCAGGCCAGGCTGGGGATGACCCCACTCACTTTTGTTCCCCCTGGGTTCCCTTCCTGACTCCTGGCCACTCTCCCTCAGGTCTTTGTCTGCCACCCTCGCAGGCTTGTCGGTCTTGGCCTTTGTGTTGCTTGTGGACTTGCCTCTTTCCCGGCACCAGATACAAAGTCACTGAGGTTGGGGTTGGGTTTTAGTCACCTGGGTTGTCCTGGCCTCTAGCGTGGTGCTCCGAGCCCTATGGGGATACCTGGGAGCCGTGTGGTCGGGGTTCTGTTCTAGGCCTTGGAGGGAAGCAAACCCCGCAGGACTCGCCTCAGTGTGTGTGTGCAGACACAGACACATACCACACTGTGGCCCTGCCATCCTCAACATCTGCATGTCTTTCTTCCCCACAGTGCTTGGAGAGGGCCATGAAGTTTGCCTTTGAGGAGTTCCACTTGTGGTACCAGTTTGCCTTGTCCCTGATGGCCGCCGGGAAGGTGAGTTGCCCTCTGTGATGGGCAACTTTTAGGTGGTGGTCACCGCTGTTGAATCTCATGGGTGATATGCGCCATGTGGAAGTCTTTCAGGCCAGCGTTCAAAAGCGTCCCATGGTCCTTTCTTCATGAACAGTCAACTTTGCCTATTTGGAGCCAACATGGACCCCACTGAGAAGAGCATTTCTGACTCCATCGTGCCAGGTGTTTCCCATCGACTCCTCTGCTCACTCGAGTGTCACTTCTTCCCGGAGGGGCAGCCCTGGGCTCTCTTCCTCAGTGTGTGACATGAGGCAGGCTGTGACTGGTTGGAAGTGCAAGCGGGGGTGTCCAGTGTCAGGCTGTAGTGTGGCGCTGCCCTCCCCAAGTAGCCCGGGCAAGTCGCATGGTAGCTCAGTCAACTCTTGGGTGAAGTGGGCGGTGACAGTACCCACCTTACAGAACCATCTCCAGACAGGTGTGATGCCATGCCAGAGGTATCTGGAACAGGACCTGCACTGTGTACAGACTCAATGAAGGCAGTAGCTGTTGTTTTCATGTTAATTGGGGTCACCGAGTGAAGTCAGTAGATGAAGACTGAGGTGTAAGGTTATTTGAGCTAAGTAAAACAAGTTTTGTATGATGTGCTTTAAATTGGGTGTTTATTTGTTGTAATAGCATAAACTTCCACTGTCTTCATTTTTCCCTTATTTTCCCAGTAGCTACACATGTAGGGAACAAGATTTGGGTAGTGCCGGGGACATTCTGCCTGGGGAGATCCCAGTCACCCCCTTCCTCAGGAGCCCAGGCTCTGGTTGGCGCCAGGCCCTGCTGGGTTAGGCCTAAAATCTGGACACCCTGCAAAGGGGACATCCTGACCAAGAGCCCCGGCTTTAGTATCTGGCTCACTGCACGTCTCAGTGTCAGGCTCAGTACCTGGCTCGAGTCTCACAGAACTCCTTCCCCTCCCAGTCTGCCCGGGCCGTGAAGGTACTGAAGGAATGCATCCGCCTGAAGCCTGATGATGCTGCCATCCCGCTGCTGGCCGCCAAGCTGTGCATGGGCTCCCTGCACTGGGTGAGTGGGCACCTGCCCAGGATGAGGTTGCTGGCTCCATGTCCAGGCACAGAGCATCGCAAAGGCTGCCTAGCCTAGACCCCAAACTTCGGCTACCCACCCTGGTGTGTCCCCGATGCTTTCTTTCTCACAGAGCATGCTCCAGGGTTGCAGTGATGAGACAATCCTGGAATTCATCCTCAATGTCTTGCCTGTGCAGGAAAGTGGGGCTGAGAAGAGACGTCTCAGGACTGTCTGTCCCTGACTGGGCCTGGATCTCCCTGGGGCCGAGAATCACCCTCTGCATCCACTCACGTGCACACCCTGGTCTCTACTGCTCTTCCTTCGCATGTACTTTCTTCTTAGATATTTTCATTCAGATTTACATTTGCAGGTGGCTAGTTTGTAACAATTCTAGCACCTCGAGAAACACATCATTTGAGAGAAGAGAAAACTCAGACTGATTGCCGAGATATATAGTTCGTTGTCACATAGAACAGGGTGTTTGTTTCTCTTTTTTAAAAACTTTACATTGAGATTAGCTGTAGGATATTCTGCTGGAAAGCCCAGGCATTTTTGTGTCTCTGTTTCTCACCATGACCCCTCAAAATTCTTCCACATTTTCCCAAGTTTTGCTTGGGAAAATGTGGAAGAACGAAGACATTGTGAACAAGCAGGCTCTCACCTGAGACATGGCGAGGAAGGTGCAGTGTAGCCATAGGGTTTGGACAGGCGCGGGCTGCGAGCTGCCAGGAAAATGTGGGTGTGCTTCGGGCAGAGGGGCGGCCCCAGCCTCTGTGCTGGGGTGTGCCCATTCTCAGAGTGACTACCGCCCTCCTCTCAGCTGTGGCCTTGTTCATCTGTAGCAGTGTACCTCTGCATGCCTGAGACAAGCCTCTTAAAGATGGGAGTAGCAAATATTTTCTATGTATTTTTTTCTTGCATTTTTATTAACATTGCCAAACACCACAAAAGGTAAGGACATGTGAACTCCCTTGCTTCAACTGCATCGGCATTTGCCAGACTTGAAAGGAACAAGTCTAACTTTTACCTCTGGTGAATTGTGCAAGGGGCTTGTTGTGGGCATCGGTGCAGGTGCACACCTCGGTGGAGTCCACTGGTGGAGACTGCATGTCAGGGACTATTGGATAAATAGATGGAGTTCTGAAATGTTCAGCATCTTGGGGCAGAGAGAACCCAAGCCTAATCCAGCCTCAGTGATTCATTACATCCTGGAGAAGGGAAAGGCCCAAACATAGGACATTCCGAGAACCTTACTCTTAACCAATACTTTTATTTCAACTTTCTGAACACCTCGCATGGCCTCATTACAGAACCAATCAGTAAAACATAAAGACGAAAAAGATAGAACCACCCAAGTGTGAAAATGACCTTGGAAAAGAAGGCAGATGAGCACTGAGGAAGACCTGAGAGGGAAAGGCAGGAACCCCAAGGAGCTCAGTGAAAAAAAACGACCTCACCAGGGTGGTACGAGAGTTCCAGGAGTTGTTTGCAAAGTGACTCAGCAAAAACCCATATTTGGTAACATCCTTATGGGAACTTATGTTAAAAATTCTGCAGGTTGTTGTGTTTTTAACTTGTCTCCTTTTACAGTTGGAAGAAGCTGAAAGGTTTGCCAAAACTGTCGTTGATGTGGGGGAGAAAACATCAGAGTTCAAGGCCAAAGGCTACTTAGCCCTGGGGCTCACGTACAGCCTGCAGGCCACGGACGGTGAGAGACGCACACCCCATGGGGACCCTGCAGTCCCCTTCTGCCCTAGGGGATGTGGGACTAGGTCACACTGTTGTGCCAGCCTCTGGGGTCCCATGCTGCTGTCCTCTTTGCGTGGACTGGGAGGAGGATGGGAGGCCAGGGAGAAGGCCCCTCGATGGGTTCTAGACCCCATTCCCAGCACATGGGGTGGGGGTGTCCCAGGCATTTGGCTGGCAGGAGAGGCAGGGCCTTGAGAGATGATTCAGCAACCCAACCTCAGCTTGAGCTGTCCCCATGTGAAGAGATGTTGAATCTTAGACACAGGAACGCACACAAGTCATGGCTGGACACCCCGGGAAGCTTCCCTGCCGGTCCCTCTGCACGCTGTAATTCTCATGTGCTCTGTGCAGCGGCTCAGCAGACTTCCAGGCTCCCAGGCCCGGAGATGTATATGTTCTGGATGTGCCTAGAGTTCTGGTGGATGGGCTTCTGCCTTGAAAAACATCTTGATTGTGTTTTGTATACTTAATGAGGTTTTCAGTGATATGTGTAGAAAGTTTACATTGGTAAATCATTTTTCTGAACCCTTGCTATTCTTTTAACATTTTATTTTAAATACAGAGGGTGCCAAAAAAAGATGTATATACATTTTAAAAAGGAAAAAACTATATTAAATTGTAATACTCAGTAAGAGGAATACAAGTTACGTCTGACCTATGTCATTACAAGTGTTACTCAAAGTGGTTCCCATCAGCAACCAGACACTTCTGATGACTGTGAACATCTCTTAACATCTCTTAAAATGTGAATGCATTATTTTGGCATCCCAAGTATAACATGGACACATCAAAAAAACCCTCAAAAACAAATATATAACTTGATGAATTATTGTAAGGCATAATGCCTTATAACAAATGCCACCTCCTTGCCCAAGAGATAGAACCTCACCAGCCCTTGGGGTGCCCTCACCTGCCCAGTCACAAGGCCATCCTCCCAAGAGAAAATACCATCCTGGCTTTTGTAGTACTGCCCTTTTTTTTCTTTATAGTTTTGTTATAGTATATTTTACGAATTACCCCGAATTCTTTTTTCCTCTGCCCTAAAGTATCAAAGACCCTAGGGAAGGTTGATGGCTTTTCAGCGAGGACTCTTTGCTGATTTTCCGTGTGTATATGGCGTATTGGCAATACCAAGCAATGGCTGTCATACCATAGGCTTTCAGTGAAGTGCAGGTTTAATGCCACACTTGAGTAAACTTGTAAACTTGAGTCCAGGTACCACCCTGGGTAGCCCTGGACCCTCAGGAGAGTCACATGGCCCTACTGGGCCTCCCCTGCCTCTGTGATCCAGTCCCCTGGAGGCTCCCAGTGCTCCTTTGCAGTTGTTCCAAGTTGGCTGGGGTGGCCTCCGGCTGGGAGCTGCCATGATGGCGCCATTAAGACAGGGCCTCCCGTGGTCCCAGCTGTAAACAGGTTCCTCCAGAGCTCTCTCTCAACCCAGCAGAAAGCCCTTTTTGTTGCTAGACAGGGTTAAGGGGGAGTCCTTTTTCACGTGCTCTGACAGGGAGGTCTTGGCTCCAGGTGGCCTCACCCTCTCAAGCTGAGTTCCGAGTGTGGATGTGGGGCCTGCCCACCCCATCCTGTGTTCACATCCTGGTACCAGGGCCTGGCCACTGCCTGATGTGAGCTAAGCTGCCTTTCCAGTCATTGGGTGATGGCCTCAGCACCAGAAGAACCCGGAAGGCCTCCCGTTCTCCTCTCCCCATCCCCCCCTTGCTTGTGTCCCTTCCGCTCCATCCTGGTGAGGCTAGCCTTCAACCACGAGCTGCATGCTGTGTTGGGAGGGTGGCCATGCTCCTCCTGGACTTTCCAGATGGCCTTTGAAGATGGCCCCTGTGTGCCTGGGGGCACAAGAGTGACCCTCACTCCCCTTGCCTCTTGGTGTTCTGCAGTTGTGCCCGACAGATGCAGGTGTCGGGAGGGCCAGGCTGTGCTTCTGTCCCCTACGGTGCAGGACAGTTTCTGTGCTGGGCTTTGTTTGTCTGGAGCCTCATGCCACCGACTAATCGAACCCTTTTCTCAGCTTCCCTGCGAGGAATGCAGGAGGTCCTGCAGAGGAAGGCGCTGCTTGCATTCCAGAGGTAAGTGGGGTTCCTCTTTTCACTCAGCAGTACATGCTGACACCAAAGCGTGTCGGGGTGAAAGGGGGAGGTATTCATAGGGACTATGTAGACAGCATCTGCCCCCGAGCCTCTTGTCTCAAGCATTGAACATGCTGCTTCAGAACTCTCTGTGTCACCATGCAGACCTGCATCCTTGCCCTGTCTATCCATTTGGGCACGTGGCAGTCAATCCTGATAAGGTGATTTCAGTTCAAAAAATGCAGATGCTTTGTATGTCTAGAGAGATGAGTCACTTCTTAAAAAATTTGTCATCATCTAGAAAAGAGATTAGTCTTTCCTAGCTTTTTTTTTTTTAACGTGTCAAGTTGCAGGTTTTTATATTAGGGAACAAACAGGCCAGATTTTAGGAAACCCCTGGAATGCCAGGTGATGATAACCCAGCAAGCCCTGCCCCCTCACTCCATCACAGCCTGTGCCCATCCCTACCACTTGCCCCTTGTGAAGTTAGGAGAGTCCTTTGATGCTCGATGCTGAGCGTCATGACTCTCTCCCACACCCCTACTTAATTTGCTCTTCTACACACACCAGTGAGGTGGAACAACAAGCAGCATATCCCTTGTAGGGCAGAAACTGAGGTACCAGAGCTGCCTGTCACATAGATGTTGAAGGCAGCATGATTCAAGATCCCTGACTCTAACCGTATTTGCCCTGGGCCTCACTTACAACAGTGCCCTCTTTTCACTTGTTGCGAGGATACTAAATCACTAAAATAAGCATTGCCTATGGACAGCCCCATATGTGAAGTCAAGAATGAGTGTCAATTCTGTCCCCTTGAGTAGAACTGAGTCACATTGATGTCCTGAGATTGCATTAGAAACTTAGTTACACATCCAAAAGTCTCCCGAGGCCCCCGAGGCCCCCGAGGCCTGGCGACCTGGGCAAGCAAGAGCAGAACAGCTGGCAGGTTTAGCCCGGTGTTGCATGCCTTTCCCATGAAGTCGTCACTGCTCGCTTTCTGTCTGTCTGAAACGCATCATCTGTCTCCATTCCCCAGAGGGCTTACCCGAGGCTTCCTCACTCTGCCTGCCCTGTCTGGGCAGTGACACAAAGTGCCAGTGACACCTGCAAGCAGATCTCCCATCTGTGTCCTGGGCTGTTGCTGATTCCTTAAGCACGGAGTGTGATGGGTCTCCATGTCACATGACTCAGAGTCTTCAGTTCCCGGTCCCGCTCTGTGAAACCCACACAGGAGACTGAAGACAGTGGTCCCTGCTTCTGCTCCACTTTTCTTAGATCAGCACGTCTGCTGGCTCTAAAAACAGCCATTCCGGTGGTCTGCCCGTGCTGCCAGCGTATTCATGTTATGTAACATCTGTTCCATTGGCCTGAATTTCTTCTTTGTTCCTTTTTTGCTGAGGTTTTAATTCAAAGATATTTTTAAAATATTAGTTCATGTGAGAATAAAGAGTAGTAAAATCCCACCAACCTAACTGATTACGTTGCAGAAAGCTAAACTGAATTCGTATTTGTGTGAAATACAGAATGTTTTTCAAAGGAATGAAATTATTTTGTTTCAAATACACTATAACTAGGACTATTCTGGTAAATTGTAATGCTAACAGAATCTTTAAGGGACAGATTTTAAGTAAGTGGGAATGATTTGTATCACTTCTTATATGTAAACAGAAAGTTGAAAACCACTTGAATGAGAAGTACTTTTGTACTGTTCATTTTAAATACTCTCCCCACCATTTTGTTTTGCTTTTTTTTGTTTAAAAACAAAATAATGTAGGCATTGGCTCACACCTATAATCCCAGCACTTTGGGAGGCCGAGATGAGAGAATTGCCTGAACTCATGGGTTCAATACCAGCCTGGGCAACAGGGCAAAACCTTATCTCTACAGTAAATCAAAAATCAGCCGGCTGTGGTGGCACATGCCTGTAGTTCCAACTACTTGGAAGGCTGAGGTGGAAGGATCACCTGAGCCCAGCAAGTTAAGGCTGCAGTTGCCATGAGCATGCCACTACACTCCAACCTGGGCAACAGAGTAAAACTCCAACTCAAAAAACAAAACAAAAATGAATAAATAACATAATTCAAAAATGGGGAGCCAGGCACAGTGGCTGACGTCTGTAATCTCAGCATTTAGGAGGCAGAGGTGAGAGGATTGCCTGAGATCAGGGGTTTGAGACCAGTCTGGGCAACTTGGTGAGTCCTCTTCTCTACATAAATTTTTAAAAATTAGCTGAGTGTGGTGGTGTGTACCTGTGGTTCCAGCTATTCAGGAGGCTGAATCAGAAGGATCACCTGAACCCAAGAGTTGGAGGCCGTGGTAAGCCAAGATCCTGCCACTGCTCTACAGCCTGGGAGAAAGAGTGAGACTCTGACTTAAAAAAAAAAAAAAAAAAAGGATGAGCTTGCAGATACAGCATGTGAAAATTAACTCAGTTATGGCTGGAGCCAGAATCCAAAAAAGACTTGCTCTCAGTGGAGCCAGAAAATGGTTTCTGAGGTTTGCATGTCATGAAGCCACACCTGAGTGTTAGACTGTCAGTTGCTTCTGCTCTCAGGATCACCCCAAGCAGCCGAAGCAACACATTTGTCTGCACAGAAGTGTGGTGTTGGTGAAGCTTCCAGCAGGTGCCAAGTGGTCCAGGTTGCATCGTCCGTGGCCTCACACGTTGGGACATAGTGAAGCATGTACTGAGCACCCCGGCCCATGGCACAGGAGGCCTGGTGTCATCTGTTTGGGTCTCTCAGGGGGGTATCAAGGACTCAGTCACATGTTATTTCCCTCTCCCACCTACTTGAGTTTAAATGTGGCATTTTATGTGTCTAGGGCCATCAGCTGGGGGGGGCATCTGCCCTTCTGGTCTGTCTCTTGGCAGGCTGCAGTCAGCAGTGGAAGGTTCCTTGATGAAGCCACCAGGGCCTGGGGCAATGCTGTCTCTATCCACCCTCCATTCACACACGAGTGCCAGCTTTTCATGGGTCGGTCTTGCGTAGAGATGGCAGAGACTTAGTTCAGCTTTATTTGCAAAATATATGAATCGGGCTCAGAAAACTAGAACTCTGAGAGATTCTTTGAAAGTTGTAGAAGCCTGGCTTCATTATTTGTGAAAGAAGATGAGATAAAATAAATAATTCTGGGCCAGCCGGGCTCGGTGGCTCAACCTGTAATCCCGCATCTTTGGGAGGCTGAGGTGAGTGGATTGCCTGAGCCCGCAGGTTCGAGACCCACCTGGGCAGTGAGACCTCATCTCTACAATAAATCAAAAAATCAGCCAGGCGTGGTAGCACACGCCTGTAATTCCAGCTACTTGGAAGGCTGAGGCTGTGGTGGCCGGGAGCGGCCACTACACTCCAGTCTAGGCGACCATGTGAGACTCCAACTCAAAAAAATAATAATAATAATTCTAGGCCAGAGGCGGTGACTAATGCCCATAATACCAGTACTTTGGGAGGTGGAAGAGAGAGGATTGCCTAAGTCCAGGGGTTCGAGACCAGCCTGGGCAACTTGGCAAGACCTCATCTCTATAATAAATCAAAACATTAGCCAGGCTTGGTGGCATGTGCCTATAATTCCAGCTACTTGGAAGGCTGAGGCAGAAGAATCATCTGAGCCCAGCAGGTTGAGGCTGCAGTGGCCATGAGCATGCCACTACATTCCAACCTGGGCAACAGAGTGAGACACAGACTCAAATAAATAAATAAATAAATCTAAATAATTCAGAGTCTCTTCATAATTTTGTGTTCGTTTTTCCCTGAATAACTATGGGAGACAGAAACCATGACACTCCAATATCACTTTTAATGAACACCAAAGAAAATAGTTCTTCCATGTGCAAATTCATGGAAAGCCAACACTTGTGAAATTATGAAAGCTGACTTGTGTCAGCAGGCCTCTGGTAAAAATTAAAGATTTGAAGGGTGGCACAAGCAGGCCTCAGCTTGGGGCCCTAATGCTGAGAGGAGAAAGTTCCAGGGCCGTGTCTTGAGCCAGGTTACTGGTGAAGAGCTCCAGGAACAGTCGCTCAGTCACTGTGCTCTTGAGATGAAGGGAGGGCAGCAGCTAATGTGGCCACATCCAGGCTTGCACAGGAGCTGCCACGCTTGCCAGGCGGTGTCCCAGATGGGTGTGTTTTCTGGATGGCAAACACCTAGGAGACTCTGCTTCTTCCACTGCAGACAGTTCAGTGAAAAGGTCAATGCCTGCAGGAAGCCAGTTTGGCAAGTTTGCTGCAGTCGGATCCATGGCACTTTGGTGTCCTTTTTCATCTTGAATTTGCGTTTTGCAGTGGAAGATCCTCCTTTCATCACAGAATGCTGACAGAACATCATGAAGTATGTTTACTCTCTGGGTTCCACCTAATTAGTCTGCTCCATGGTGCCTTTTAAAGAAAATAAAAGTTTGGGGTTTTTTTTCCCACCAGACTGTTGAATACAGAATTGTGTCTTGTACATAGGTGCATTTGGAGTTGCTTGTGCTGAAATGCAAATCACTTCTGCATAAAAGCAAGAAAATCCTCATTGGTAGTCAATTGGGACATCAATGCAGCCTCTTCTGTGTGGTGTTGAGGCCAGTTCACAGAGCCGGACCTTGCATCTCACCAGTTCTAACATGTCACGTTGACACGGCCCCAGTCCATGGCTACCTGGAATTTACCAGGAACTTCAAGTAACTGACTGTGCACCTCTCTTTCCCCTGTTTATCAAAAATCACAGCCTCACCTGACGAGCAAGCTGGGTCTTGGATTTTCATACAGGTTCTCTGAAACCCAGAAACTTGGATGCAGTAGCATTAAGGCCAAGCCAGTGTAAGCAAAGCAGCTGATGCCTTGCCAAGCACACACATGGCTTCATGTGTTCCATTGTGACACGTGGGATGTCCCTACTCAGCCCCAAGGAGGCACCTGCTGGGGAGGTCAGACCTCAGGCCCATGGGCCTCTCACCTCCAGGCCCCTCAGATTCCTTGAGCAGGGACTCCTGTATTAGACGCTGGACCAAACACAGAATGTGCCCCCTTTACACCTCTACATGGATCAGAGGAAACAGGCTTGACACGTGTCAGCGGACAGAAGTTTAAGGGGAACTCTGTGCGTATCCTTAGTACACATGTAAGCATGAAAACCTGCCTGCCAGGTCACAAGGCAGCTGCCTTCTCTCAACACACTAACACCATGAATGCTTTTTCAGGGCCCACAGCCTGTCACCCACAGACCACCAAGCAGCTTTCTACCTGGCCCTGCAGCTCGCCATCTCCAGACAGGTCAGTGTCTCCAGTGTCCCCAGCCCCGCGTTCATGTGTTTGCATCTCTGCACAGCTCCAGAAGCTCCTCGACAAGGGGGGAGGGGCAAGTGGTCTCCTTCATCCACTGGGGCCGACTTGGAGCCTTCTCAGGGAATGCTGGTGCCTTATAGCAAAGCCCTCAGCCTGTGGGTCTGTTTAAGCATCAGCAGTGTAGACACAGGAGTTCAGGCTCTGCTTTAGAGCTGAAATCCACAGATATGAGGTTCAGAGGCAGCACGGGGTCACACATGTCGTGTACCCTGAACCCAGGCATCGTCAAAGAGCCTTTGTCCCCTGCTCACAGGAGCGGCTGACTGAGCCCCGTGCTGGGCTGCTTAGGGGGGCATTTGGTCACTGGCTTGGGCCTGCTTATCATGAGGGTATCAGCAATTGACAAGAAGATGCAGCGGGTGTAGACAACATAGACCAGGTCCTTTAAGGTACATGGATGACGTGAACCCGATACATTTGGCTACTCAGCCCGGAGACCCAGCTGCTCTCCTTGCTGGGGCCAAAGTCACGGTCTTCATCTTCTAGGGCAGCTTCTAGAGAGGCTGTGTCCCTCCCGGCCCCTCCCGGCCTCCCAGCTGTCTTTGAGACTCAGGCCACGTGCCTGCCGTCCACCAGGTGCAGGACACTGGTGGTAATCCCAACACATTCCTGAGCACTGCTGGGGGTGGGTGAATCAAAGGTCAGCTCCCAGACATGCTGTCCTGGCAGGCCAGGCTGAGGCTTGCACCTGCCCCCCGCCCCCCCGGTTGACTGGGGGTGGCCTTGGGAAGTGGCTTTTGTCGGCACCCAGGGATGGAGGAAGTCAGGTGCCTCCCCTGTGGAGGCCTCACCTGGCTTGGGGCTCCCAGCCACACTGGTCAGAAGCTGCTTCTGCACCAGGTGTGGGTGACCACCAGTGCTGTGTTCTGTCCTCTGCAGCGGGAGCTCCTGCCACCTCCTCCGGAAAGCCTGCTTTGGTGGCAGCCAGCCTTCCTCTCACCTGTTTCTCTTGCTCAGTATCCATCCTTCTCACTGGACACTAGGGTCTGTGAGGGCAGTGGCCAGTGTCTGTCATCATCATTGCTCTGCCCCGATGCTTAGAACACACCCAACGCAGGCTTGAAAGTCAGGAACACTCGCTAAGGAAGGAACCAGTGCCCTGATTCCTTCAAGTCAGCTATTTCTTAGGGGCATCATCCTAATCCTGTCAGGGGGACCCTGAGTCTCCTGGCCCTCCCTGCAGATCCATCCATGCCCTTGAATACAGGTTGAGTGCAGTTTATACCGTAGCTTGTCCCTGGGGAGGGGATGAGTAGATGGAGCCTTGCGGACATCACATCAGGACCCCAATGCCTTGGTGGGAGATGACCAGGAGGTGGGGACAGGGAGGAGCCGTCAGGTACAGAGTCACTCGAATCTTAGGCGGTAGCTGGCTGACCTCACTCCAGTCCTCCTCTCTGGGTTCCAGCCTCCTCCAGTGAGTGGAGGATCAGTCCATCACTCTCTTCTAGCTGTGGTGGCTGTGACTCCAGGGCTGGAGAGTGCAGGGCCTCCATGGCCCGTGGCCCATGCTTGACACCTGAATCTGTCAAAAATGGAGGTGCTGGGAGGAAGGCAGTGGGCTTAGGGAGATGTCCTGGCTCTCGACTAAGTGAGGGGATAGGGGTTTGCCGAGGATGAGCCCGCCCAGGACTGGGCTTGGAGCAGGACAGGAGGGAGCCTGAGGATGGGCTTTCACAGGACCAGGCATGGAGCAGGACAGGCAAGAGGCTTAGGACGGGCCTGCACAGGACTAGGCTTGGGGCAGCCCAGGCGGGAGGGCATAGCCAGCAGGTGTGTGAGACACTCCAGGCCTGAGCTCTGCTTTGAAACCCTGTGCCAGGCTCTGACTCTCCTAGTTCTGTGCAGCCTATGCGGTCTAGTGTTCAGTGTCTGCAGCATTCAGCCCATGCTTGGGGACTGGAGAAGCATCTGGAGCAGCCGCTGCAGCTGAAGGCTAAGGCTGTGTCTGGTCCTGTGTAATATGGATGCATCTGCTTTGAATGTGGCATTGCAACTTGTTTCTCAGATCAGGTTATTTGCGGAGGGAGTTTAAAAGGGCCGGGCCTTTGTTTGTGTGTCTGTTTGCATGTTTCCTTGACGTCTGCTGGAGCTCAAGGACCAAGGAACCTGCAGAGAATCGCAGATGTCTGTTCACTTGGAAAGCCCCAATGAAGTCTTTGTAACTTACTAAGCACTTTAATTTCAGGATGCTTTAAAAAATGAGAGCAGTTCGGCCAAGGCAGTGTAATTCCACTGAAAACCTCTGGCAGCCTCTGTCTCCATTTAGTATGAAATGATCTTTGCCATAATCAAAAGGAGATTGGTTTGTGGAAGGAACGTGGATGCGTTTATTTGGGGAGAAACATCAGACATGGTGCAGTGTTGGCAGCTGTGTGGAGAAACAGGGTGGCAGAGCATCTTGAGGAGGGTATCTGTTGTGTGTCTGTGCTGGACATCCTGGGGCTGCCACAAGCCTTGGCTGGAAACCTGAATGAGACCCAACATGGACTGATGCTTGATATACACAGAGTCGGACATTGTGGCTGGGCATGGTGCCTCATACCAGTCATCCCAGCACATTGGGAGGCTGAGCCAGGAGGATCATTTGAGCCCAGGAGTTTGCAACCAGCCTGGACAACACACCGAGACCTCGTCTCTTCCAAAAATAAAATTAACCAGGCATGGTGGCATGTGCCTGTAGTCCAGGCTACTCAGGAGGCTGAAACAGTAGGATCACCTGAGCCCAGGATGTTGAGGCTGCGGTGAGCTGTGATTGTGCCACTGCCCTCCAGCCTGGACAGCAGAATGAGACCCCAACTAAAAATTTTTTTTAAAAAGATGTTGAATGATGGCTGCTTTCTTGTGTGATTGTGTGTGTGTGTGTATGTGTGTGTGAATGTATGTGTGCACACACACTTAAAATCCTTTTTGTTTTGTTTTTAAACAGATCCCAGAGGCTCTGGGGTATGTCCGCCAAGCTCTGCAGCTCCAGGGCGATGATGCCAACTCCCTGCACCTCCTCGCCCTCCTGCTGTCAGCCCAGAAGCATTATCACGATGCCCTCAACATCATTGACATGGCCCTCAGCGAGTATCCAGAAAACTTCATGTGAGTGGTCGGGCTCTTGCCTTCCTGCACTCAGCTGTCCTCCATTTACTCTTCCCACCCTCAGTCTGTCTCATTTAAGTCATGGGCATCCTGGAGGTCAGTCAGATAAAATCTATTCACTGCTGGTTCTTTCTGATATTTAAAAACAAATTTTATCTGTTAAGTCATTCTCGTGTGGTATTGGGCTCTCTCCACTCAGTTGAGATATTTCTCCACTCTCCTCTGATGTGTGCTGTTGGCACACATGAGATGATCTTAGATGGACTGTGGGTGAATGTTTTCTTTTAATAGCTGTACATTCAAAATGTACATTAGAAAAATAGAACCCATATCACAGGAACTACTACTCCCAGGGAGACTAAGAATTTTTTAAGTCAATTTAAAGAAAAATAGTAAGTAAATGCAAATATGGACTGTTAGGTTGGTAGGCTGAACCGGTGCTGTGTGCATGCAAAGAATTGCACAGAAATTTGAGTAGACAGGAAAGTTCATATAGAAAGTAGATTTGAAAAGAGTGGACTTAACTTCTCAAAGGAGAGAAGGGGCCAGATGCTTAAGGACATGTGGCAACAAATGCCATTTGATGCTGGAGGCTTTTAAAACTTCTTTTGGGGAAGCAGCCAAGCATTCACAGCAACTGATGTCCTGTGATGGGATCTGATTCTAGCATCTCTGATGACTGGATGGGTGGGTGGGTCAGTCATGAGCACATGGACAAAGGGGTCTGATGGGTGAATCAGCCATGGGAGTTAATTACACAGAGAAGGGCTGAGTGGGTTCTGCAAGACAGATTCTTGGGAAACATTCATCTCAATGTCCAGTGACTCACCCAGGGCTCTATGTATAAGCTCAAGGAGGCCAGAGAAGCTCCACTTTGGGCTCTGTCCTTTCATAGGTAAACTTGGATATGGCAAAAGTTACATTAAACAAACTTCAGTGACTGAAGTTTGGGAAACGTTGCTCTGTAGCTTGTTTGTCCTGAGCAGCCAAGGGCTCCTGAGCTTGGGATGACTATTGTATCTTGGGCAACTTGGATCAGGATTCCCTATCTCTTTATGCTTTCATTGTATTCTCTAGGAAATGGAATTTCTTAAGTAAATTACTCAACATTTATAACAAAAAACCCTATGCATCATTGTGACAGGCTGTGCTGTGCTTGAATTGTCTGCCTGGTCTCATCTCTGGTCCCATGCCCGTTGGTCAAGCTTTGTTGAGAAGGTTGTTGCCTCTGGGCCACTGGGTGATTGTTTATCCTCAATGGCAGCAGCTAAGAAAGCAGTACACAGGGCCCTAAATGGTAAATGCTGGCTCCTGCACCATGGAAGGTTCTGGTTGTCCACATCCTGGCAGAGTTCACAGAAGGGTAGGCAGCCTGGGGGGGGGGTTGGGGGGCTGTAGAAGGTGGCCCAGTGCTTCCTTCACTCACAGAAGACCCTTGAGTGGGTCACCTTGGCTTTGCTTCCCAGTCTCCTTACCTCTGTGTTGTAGTTGGTACTTCTCACCCATTCTTCTGGGAGAACTGGTTCACACATTTCCGTCACAAACATTTCTTTGTCTTCAAGTGAAAAGGGCGACTTTCTTGTCCCCAGGAGAGCATTTGTGCTAAAATCCAGAAGCCTCTGACAAGATCCATGTGTGGGCTCAGCTCCTGATGCAGCCTGAGCTCCAGAGCCCTGCTGCGAGTTGTGCTTCCTGCAGACCTCTCCCTTGCTCTTCTGCACAGGAGCTGCATGTCTGGATTTTATCCCAGGCTGCTCAGCATTGGATCTTAAAATGGTTAAAACACTTTAAATATTCAGTCCTTTACCCATCAGCAAAGTATGACCTGGCACAATTGGATTCAGTTTCTCTCATCAGTATTTATAAAGCACCATTCCCTGCGTCTCAGCCTCCGAGACACACACATGCACACACACACACGTGCACACACTCATGCATACACACACCCGTGCACACACACGTGTGTACACATATGTGTTCTCACACACACAAACATGCACTCTCCCTCATTAGGCATTATGCACCAGCATGTGACCCCACCTCCCACAGGCTAGGCTGCATCCTAGGGCAGCTTATTAAACTCATGGCTCCCCCACCCAGTAGGCAGTACACAGTGGCGGCTAACAGGGCTGGGCCCTCAGGGACAGCAGTGACAGCCTTTTCAAGCAGCAGAAGCAAGGAGCAGCAGCAGAGACATCTGAGGCTTGCCAGGCTGTTATTTTAATGTAAGGCTGTGAGCTCAGAAAAGCCAAGCATACAGCAGCAGGTCTGAGATGGCCGAGAGCTTGTTTGGTTTTCAGATGTTTGTACTTCTTCCTTCACAATGGGAAACTTTTTCACAAGCATATTTTATTAACAGTCAGGGCCAGATGTCATCAGCGGGTCCCATGGTCTCTTCCCAACCCAAAGGGGATGAAGTGGGTGCCATCTCCTGCCCTGTAGTGTCCTCTGTGTATGTGTGTATGGCAGGGCTGTCTCCCACAGAGCTCTAGCCCTGAGGCCTGGCATGGGGGACAGAGTGTGTGGTCAGGACTTCTAAAGAGAGGTAGACCCTTCCCACCATGAGGTCGGCTCTGTCCACCTGTTACCAGAGGAGGCAACTGAAAACCCCTGGAGCAGCTGGTCTCTCCAGCACTACCTTATTGCCACTGTGAATCGATAGAAGTTGCCACTGAAGTGCTTTGAAGAAGCTGGTAGGGTCCCAAAAGTCTTGAGCTGAGGGGTGCTGTCCTGTCACTTGGCAACTCCAAGTGGAGTAGAGCCAGGGCAGTGGAGCCAGCAACTGGGAAAGACATCCTGAACGTAGGGATGGGGAAAACCAGGAGTCCGTTCTTCAGGGTCCTCAAAAATAAGCCCACTGCTTTGGAGAAGCATCTGTCCTTGGATTGCCCAGGGCTGTCTCTGTGTGGAAGGAAGAGGAAGGAGCTTCGGGAGTGAGTGAGGGTCAGCAAATCCAGCTTAGGATCCTCTACTCTTTAGTTGTGTGACCTCGAGTGAGTCTCATCTCCACATCTTCAAAAGGTGAATCGTGAAGCTCCTTCTCAGAGGATTAGGGGAAGAAGTGACTTAGCTAGTACATTGGAGGCACTTGTGCATGGTGATCACTCAGGAACTGGTGGGAGTTCATTTTATTGCTCCTATTGTCAATATGACCATTTGCAAATATGGTATTTTAGGATCTTTTGAAATTATTATTAAATATTGAGCAGAAGCCAAAGAATATCCTTTAGATATATTTAAAATAATAATACAACTGACATATGTTTACTCAGTTTAAGAAAAAGAACGTTAACATTGCTATGAATTTTCCATGCATATTTATTTATGCATCTGCATATTTACATGTGTTCAGTGTGTACATGAATTTTCGTGTATACTTATACTTCTGTGTAGTACACGTATGCTCAGTGTGCACGTGGCCCTCCATGTATACTGCTTATACATCTGTGAATTTACACGTGTGTTCAGTGGATCTCCATGTCATGCTGCCTGTGAGTTTTCTCTCTGGCCTGTCCCTTGACTACTCACCTGACAGGTTAGTCACTGTCCTAAATTCTGCGTTGATCATTCTCTCATGTCTGTAACATGTATGTTTTACTCCTTTGTTTTACATGTTTTCAATTTTTTAAAAAATGTACTCATACTAAGTATGTTGCTTTCATTCTTTGTGTGATGTTCCTGGGGTTCAGTTTTGTTGCATAGAGCAAGGACTCATTCCTTTACACTCCTGAGTAGTGTTGTATTGTGTACATACACCAAGGCATAGATACCTTGTCTACTGTAAGCAGATTGTGTTCGGTTTTGGCTCTTAGGAACGACGCCGCTGTATATATCCAGGCTCCAGGTGCACATGTTCAAGGACTTCTCCAGGAAAGCAGTAGTGCAGTCAGAGGACATATTATAGGATATTCTAGGGTTTTCCAGGGAAGGGGTGGGGAGTTCTTAGACTCAAGGGTTCCTCCCCCTTTTGAACCATACAGGGTGACTTCTAGGGTTGTCATGGCGCCAGTGGGTGTGTCTCCTAGCATGTGAATGCATTATAATGATCATACAATGAGCAAAAAAAACAGCAGAAGTCGTTCTTGATGCCATGTTGGTCTCAGCTGGACTCAGCCGGTCTTCTTTTCAACTGTTCAACTTTACCAAATAATTTCAAACTATTTTCCAAAGCAGCTGCATTAGTACACGCCCCCAGCAGTGCCTGAGTGCCCTATGGCTCCGTGCACTAACGCTCAGTGTTCCCAGCGTCATGTTTTTGACAGTGGGGCTGCAGGTTAACCTCCCATTGTAAGTGTCGGTTGTGTGTCCCTCCTTATCAGTGAGACTGAGCACCTTTCATTTATTTATTGGTCATGTAGCTTTTCTTTTTTGAAGTGTATATATCGAATTCCTTTTTTTTTAATTGTGAACCTTTTTCTTACTTTTTCTTACAAATTTGTGAGCCTTCTTTATATATTATGATAAGTCCTTTAGTTGGTTATATGTGTTACAAAAATCTTCTCCCAAACTGTGGTTAGTTTCTTTGCTTTCTCTTCACGATGTCATTTGATGAGCAGAAGTTCTTAATTTTGAAGTCGTTGAATTTAGCAGTCGTTTCCTTTATGGACAGATGGACAGTACTTTCTGTATCTAGTTTAAGAAACCTTTCCCTTCCTCAAGATCATGAAGATAGTCTCCTAAATTATCTTCTAGAAACTCTCTTGTGTTTCCTTCCACACTTGAATCTAGGGGTCCCCCTGGAATTGTCTTCTGCATGTATGGTGCAAGGAGGCCAATATAACTTTTTCCCATAGGATATATCCAGTTGTCCCAGGGATGCCAGTGAACCCAAATTGGGGTTTGGCCTGATGGGCCAAGTGGGTCCTTGGATTCACACAGGAAGGAATTCAAGCTCGAGCCATGAGTAGGAGATGACAAGTGAGTATATTAAAGAAACAGATCCACAGGCAGAATAGCCCCTGTGTGTCGCTGGGGTTTCAGTTGGAAAATGGAAGCAAGTG